AGGGGCTCAAAAGGCACAGTTAAGAAAAAAAGACAACCGATTCTAATTAAGCATCTATAACAACTGCTGGGCACAAAACGCATTTCCCAAGCTTTCAATTCATATAAAGGAACATATATTTAGAATGACCAACAGATTAGAAGCTGGGGAGAGGAAATACCACATTTCCTGATATTCCCTAAAATAGAACAGGCACACATTCCTCCTGTGAGAATAAAAGTACCTGCACAAAGCCCGTATCTTTTATGTCTTGCCATCTGCTCCCCCCCCAAATTTAAACATTCACTGTACAAAAGAAGGCACCTCTGAAACTTTTACACTTATGCAAGTGGCTAATTCACTGAAATCAAGATGAAACTTCTGACTAAATTACTCAGATGTCACTATGATGTTCTGTAGAATTAGGCATGTTTTTAAGGCTTAGTACTTAAATTTGAGGGAATAAAAATCAAGTGCAACTGATTTAGAGCAATAAATTTGAGAGGATCTGTTAATAGTAGAACAGATTTGGTAACATCAGGGCCAGAGCCAAGAGGAACACTCAAATAAAAGGCTCCCGAATCTAGGTATTTTGACCAAAATCAGGCAAGATTATTTCTGAAACTCTCTAATTATTCACTAATGCAATAAAATATTCACAGCCCATTCTGACCAAGACTGTTCCTGGAGCTGGGGGAGCAATATTCATTGACAAGCAGATTGGAGCCTGCCCTCCTGGAGCTTCCAGCAGGTGGAACTCCACTATCCAGGGTTTCTTTTTCACTTCTGGAAAGACTCCTGGATGTATACAAATACCCAGGACACCAATCCCAGCACCTGCTCTCTCCAGCCAGCCACTTTTTCCATTTCCCCATCATCATGAACTCCAACCACACAGGCAAGCCCTCTGTTCCTCTGACGTGTAAGGCTCAGTCTCACTTCAGGGCCTTTGCACTTGCTGCCCCTGCTGCCTGAGCCACCATTCCTCTAGCTCTCCAAAAACACACTCAACTCAAATCTCTCCACCTCAAAGAGGCTGCTAGGGCCAGTCTAAAACAGCAGCCTCGACCCTGCCCCTCTTTACCACAGCAACCCTATTTTATTATTCCCCAAGCACCTATCACTCTCTGACAGTATCTCCTCTCCTGTCTCTCTGCTTTTGTCCACCTCCCTCACTAAGATGTGGACTCATTAAAGCTGGGGCTGTCTGTCTGGTGTACTGCTATATTCTCAGTCCCCAGAAAGTTGCCTGGAATGTAACAGATGATCAGTAAGTATTTATTTAAGAAAAGCAAATATAGGCAATATTAGCAGTATTATACCACAATGACAAGTACTCAATAATGAAGGAAAAAGAAAAGACCTTGAATGCTAAAAGGTTTGATTGGTCAGTTTAAAAAAGAAAAGATCATTATAGCTTCTTAAACTAGTCTTAGAAACACTCTCAAAAATAAGCTCAATGGAAATATAAAGCTCAACACTGGCTAATTCTCAAGTTTTATAATGCATTTCACTCAATTGCTAGCTAGCATTAGTCTTACTTCTATAATTTACTCCGTTTTAAAAGAACTCAAAGAGACCTCAATTTTTAATTTAAAAAAAGGGCCAAATATTTTCTAAAACCATATTCCCCTTACGAGTAATAACTTTCTCATAAACTATACAATTTATAACTATATTGCAGCAACATTAAAATATGAGACACCAGTGATGAGCTACAGAAGGCAGGGATATCAGTGTCTAATGGCAAATAAGTTTTTATGAACCACTAACTGCCTTTATCTTCAACTTAATCAAAGGTACAAGATGTTTCTCACATACAGAATATTTAAACTCTTAAGAATTTTTCTTATAGATTATTCTTAAAATTTTTTATCTGTTCTTTTACTTTTTTGTTGAAACAAAGAGCTAATGTGTGAATCAAGGACCATGACCTTAGTAACTGGCCTTAAGGTCTCATGCTTCACCACGAAGACACCAAAGATCCTTACGGACTGCTTTGAAATTATACAAAGGAAATGGTGTATGTTGGTGAGAAGGGGCACTTATTTCCTGGAACATAAAGCAAAGAAGTAAGTTACTACTGCCTTTGGACCTTTGGGAATAATTGAAATCTACTTAGAAACCTCAAAAACGAATGTTTTATAGCAAAATATTAGAAAGAACCTACACACGCCTCAACAAAGGAGAAGTTAAATAAATTATGGTTCGTCCTTAATGGAGTTCTCAGCAGCCGTTAGAGAATGAGACAGCTTTTAGGTACTGATACAGAGATTGCCAAGATTTAGGACTCTGCGGGGAGCGGGGGGAGGGCGGGGAGCTAGTGCAGAACAGAGTATACAATGTGTCCTCGTTTGTGGAAAGACAAATAAAAAGAACACATACAAAATGTTTATCCTAGCATAGGCTTTATCAGGAAAGATAGACATAAGGAGCTAGTAACCCTGGGTCCTGGGAGAACAGGGTGCTGTGAGGCGCTGGGGGGGGGGGCGCACAAGAAGGAGCAGGGAGAGATATGCTTCCACTCTACAGTTCTTTTTTTAATATCTACTGAATCTTCTACAGCGTGCACAGTGTGCACTGCCTGTCCCACAAATTAACATGATAAAATTTAACATTAGAACAACTTATATTATTGTCAACATTCAAGAATGTTTATTTATTCAAGGATGACCATCAAGAAGCAAAAGCTTTCAAAAGTCACAAAAGTTCATCCCCTTCGACAGCAACAGGGCAGTTCCAGATCCTTATTTCCCAGAAAAGAATCCAAGTCTCCACTCATTAGAGAGGCGCGCTTGTGATCTTACCTATTACAAAGCAAATAAGTCCTAATTCAATACTTGGAAGGGAAATTCAAATCGAGCTTGTAACTACCTAATGAAGCCTCCAAATCAACAGTTTCCCCTTGGCTATAAAACAGAAAGTCAAGGTAAGAAACAAGTAAGAGGACAGTGCTTTTAAAAACACATGCTATACCTAGGTTTCCTTTCCTCTGCCAAGGCTAAGACAAGGAACCCTCTGATATTAGTGAAATGTGATTTCAGGTCTGTGACAAAGTCATCATTTAAGGGAAGGGACAAGCATCTTTTGCACTAAACAAACGCTCTGAGTTCTCTTTTTGAGAGGAGGGGAATGCTTTAAATTGAATTTAGGAATCATTTTTGGATCCCTGACTAAATGATTCTACTAAGTCACATTAATTTTACTCCAAGCAAAAAAAAAAACTTTTAAATTAAAGACAAATCCGAAACTGAAAACGAACAAATCAGAAAGCAAACTTTAAACTGAAACCTTTCTGTTGAAAACTACATCTTAAAAGAACGTATTACAAAGGGCAAAAAAATCATTTCCATACAAATGCCATTCAATAATAGTTCATACGTTATATCAATATTTGACTGCATTAAACACACCCATACAAAAAGGAACACAGAAATATCCAACTGCAAATAAAACACCTCATAAATTTTTGGTAGCCGAAGGTGGAGACCAGAATCACATTATTCAAGCTCAGACATAAATTCACAACATCTGAAGCGCAGTTTTCTATCGGTCAGAACTCAGGATTCCAGCTTTGTCCTTTTAAACAACACATTAAAAGTGGCATCTTCTATCAAGCCTAACTTTGATCGCCAAGTCTTTTAACTCTAGATTTAAAATCAGTATAGCACCTTGACATACAAGCACATAGAAAGACAGGTAAATCAAATACACCATGAACACAGAAGGGCCAGAGAACTAGTTTAAAAAAGAGTTGAGGCACGGGGTCACGAAATCACTCGGTTGATTACACCTCGTAATGAAAATAAAAATTTAAGCTCCTTCTTATCTCCCAGGTAGACTGGCCTGAGAACTTACTGCCCGACGTGGGGCAGAAGTTCGCGGCCGTGGAATCTGCGCCCTCCGGGAGCTGAAGGTGGC